CTTATAGTAATTTGTATAATGATTTGCAATAAAAAGTTCGATTACCGTACTTACAGACTATTATGGCTGGCTTGTAAAATTTTTCATTAATTTCTTTACTATTTTGGGGTTCAGGAAGATTTTTAAAAGAATTATGACAAGAGATTTTAACTTGGGAACCTAGGGATGCTGGTAGGCAGAGCGACATTCTTCCTCATTTTCTGAAAACGGCTGGGCTGCATAAATGATTTAAATAGGGCTGTATTCACTATTGGCCTTATCGTGATTTGTATAGTTATCTGCTGTAAAAAAATTCAATTACTTTTTAAAACATGTAAATAGTGTAAATAGTTTAGACATTTAAATTTGTACAGATAATAGTGTGTTCATAAATTAGTATAATAAATCGCATCATTCGACGTCCCCGTATAACTGCTATCTCGGGGTTATAAAAAAAAAAAAATAAAATAAATTCAATTACAAACCATTGTGGCGACATAAGTGATTTAGATAGAGAAATTAAAGACGAACTAAAATATTAGCAAATATTCCAAAACAACAAAGAACAAAAAAAAAACACAAAGAACTGCAAAAACGAACCATAGATGATGACATATTCACAACACCTACACTAAAAGCCACATCAACTCCAAGATATGACTTTAGAGGCGGCTCCAAGAACAATGAAAATGACAACTTCAAAAGGACAATAACAAGACCATGACGAAAACTATAATCTACAAAAATTAAAGCAAAAGTGAGTACAATATACTCCAGGAAAAAAAAAAAAAAAAAAAAACAGAAAAAGCATGTATAGAATTTAGCATATATTTAGTAAACACGATAAAATCCTTATAAGAACGCGTCATCTAATTGTGGAAACATAACTATAATCAGGAATGATCTGAAATATATTAATTGGAAAATCAAATATTTTTAGTACATACGTACATAATTTAAAATAAAGTTTACATAGTAAATGCATACATCTAACTATAGAACAAAAGCGGACGAACTTAAAAACCTTATAAATACAACCCGAATACGATGAAAAATTTTTGGGGAGCTTGCGCATATAGCTCTATATAGCTCTATATAGCTCATATAGCTCATATAGCTCTATATAGCTCATATAGCTCTATATAGCTCATATAGCTCTATATAGCGCTATAATATAATATAAGATAATATAAAATTTTTTGACGAAAATCTTTTCCGTTTTAGTTTATAAGGAAATGAGGCGCATCACGAGTAAAGGCAAAACCAATAAGAAAGGAGATCCGTATCCAACTTTAAGCTTATATGGAAATAATCTACGATGCGCGGGCAAAAAAGATTGAAGAGGGTTAACATCTTAGCCAAACTGCAAAGTACAGTATAACCTCGATATAACGAAGCTCTGAAGTTGAAGGTTTTGCTTCGTTATATCTATATTTCAATATATCTCTTGATATAACGAATTTATATATAATTTTATAAAATATTCGGTTTACAAATGATTTCCCTTAATGAATTATATATATATATATATTATAAAACATTCGATTTATACATATAATGTGCCCCCAATATAAGAATTTGATTGATAGTGTTATACAAAGTTTCGTTATACTATAAATATTTCGCTTTATCAAGGTATTTGTTATTTCAAGGTAATTTTATTATAAATAAAAAATTTTTTTCTTCATTATACAGTATATCAAGGTTTTATAAGTAAAATTAGCTATATTGAGGTATTTTGCAATAAAAAATTTTAGCTAAAAAAAATCTTCGCTATAATACCAAATTCGATATATTGAGATTCGTTATATCGAGGTTATACTGTATGTCATAACATATGGTGCTAGTTAATCATACTACAAGTAAATTTAATAAACTCATTTTCTGGTTACGTAATGAGTATCCCATTACGCTTTGGTAGCTAAGTTTCGTTTGATTTTCTGATTTATAAATAGGAATACGTACAGTACATATGTACACATTTTTAGGAATTATTATAACGATTATAAAATGACCTTAAGATGTCTTGAAAATCTTTTTCAAGATCTCACCCAGCTTCTTAAAAGTAAATATGATTATAACGTAATAATCAAAGTTGGTAAAAAACCGAATGTTCAACTTTTCAAAGCACATTCAGCAATATTGTACCAACGCTCGTTATACTTTCGACAAAAACTAACAAATGCCATAAAGAATAATGATGTACTTGAGATTAAATTACCTAATGTATCCGCAAAAGAATTTAGCATTATTATTAAGTAAGTTACACTGTTTGACAACTTATTACAAATTTTTTTGATGCATTTTAATAACGTTTTATATATATGTACATTTATGGTGGCATAATCTTTTTGGAAAATCTTGAAGCCTCTGCAGTTAGTATGACTATTCAATCTTACCTTATTAATAAGGATGAATCTTGGTTATATCCAAATTTTCTTCGTATTTATCTTTTAAGCTTTCAGGATGAAAACTTGCAAAAATTTTACAATGACATCCTTAAGAAATTTCCTAGCGCAATTTTTAACTTTGATTATTTCCCCACACTACATGAAGATGTTTTGATCTCTCTTTTAAAACTTGACGATTTGCAAATCGATGAATCTGAAATTTGGGATAAACTTATTCTATGGGGAAAAGAAAATACTCTAAATTTACCATCAAACCTTGATCGATGGACAGATGAAAATTTTAAGTCTTTAAAGGATACATTCAGAAATTGTCTTCTTCATATTAGATATTTTCAAATTTCTGGCGACAATGTCTGGAAAAAAATCAAACCATATCAACGTATTCTTGAAAAAAATGTGTGGGAAGATATTATTTCGAGATTTATAGCTCCGAATACGCCTATTGCTTCTCAAATTTTGCTTCCCCGTAGGAAATTATTCCCCAAAGAACCTATATCCCTCAAAGAATCTATTATTACGCCGTCTTCTTCAATAATTACTTTACAGCATGCTGTTGAAATATCGTCCTGGATTGACAGAAGTCCAATAATCAATGAAATTCCATACATATTTAAATTACTACTTAGAGGCAGTAGAGACGGGTTTTCGGGCGAAAAATTTCATAAGCTGTGTGACAATATTCCCGGTACTGTAATTGTTGCAAAAAACAATATTACCGATGAGATACGTGGCGGTTATAATCCTCTTGTCTGGAAAGTTACCGGTAAGAAAAGTGAACGGGCTGCAATAACTGATAGTTTCATTTTCTCTGGAAATCAGAATAAATCTATTCTGAGCCGTGTAAGTAATGAATCAATGGCAATCCTTTACGGTAGAAGATCAAGAGGCCCGTGGTATGGTAATGACTTTGGTATGGAAGATACATCTTTTAATAGGTCAAAAACATGGCATTGTGTAAAAGGCTTTTATCATAATAGTATCGTTAGTGTCACAAATTCTTCACGGTTTCATGTAGATGACTATGAAGTATTCCAAGTAATACATTTTGTTAAGATCTAGATTTTGGATCCCTTATATCCTTTATTTTTTATTATTTATTATTTTTTTTCTTTACTTTTTTGAGAATTGTGGATCATTGCAATTTATTACATTCACTCGTAACGATCCGATAGGATCTAATTTGAATGATTCGTATAATTTCACTTTATTAGGGTTAAAATGTTTCAATATATAACTGTTTAGATGAAAACTAAAATATTAACATTTTGAATGTAAATTAATAAATTTGTGTTAAATTCTTTTTTTTCATACATTTTTATTTATTTTATATACGTATGAATATTTTTGCAACACTTATGAAATTAATAATATAGCGCATAGTGCACTACAGTGGACTTGTTTAATTATTACGAAATTCGGTCGATAGGACAAATATTTTCGGGTTAGAGAATTAAAATCAATATTAATTCAGTCTGGTATATTGCATACAATATTGTAAATAAAATTTCGAATATATATTTTTTTTTTTTTAAAAAAAAAAAAGAACCACATATCCAGAGGGGTGCTGGTCAAAATCCCGACAAACAGAATCCCGACAGGTCATAATCCAGACAAAAAAATCCCGACAGTAAAAATCCCGACAACAAAAAATTATTAAGTTCATTTAAGTTAGGGTAGGGGTAGGTGAGTGCATAGGTTAGGGTTAGGGTGTTCGCTCAGGTTAAGGTTTAGTCGATTATTTAGTAAAATTGCTCAAATGAGCATAGAAGGCTTTAATTCTGATTGGTCAATCATTAAATGTATCGTTACATATACATTGCATATATCATCTGACTAAACGAATTGTATGCCATGAAAACGAATTATAGAACGAAACCGAATACATATTCACAAACTACACTTCCCACATTATATATGATAAAAATAATTCGGAGAACAGAGAAGAAATTCGGAAGTTAGCTACGGGGTGTACTTTTGCCATATAGGCTAAAGCAATTCAGTAATCGGCGAGGTAAATTACACTTTGGCTAATAAGCGCTACTATTTTTTTTTAACTTATTAATTTACAAATAATGATTCAAACAGTATTGCTAATAGTTGTTTCTTTTTAAATATTTTTTCTGAGTATAGATTATTCAATCATGTTTTAAGAGTTATAGCATATTAAATATAGAATAGTATAGAACATGCGCAATGTTTCTGTAGTTAATTTTGGGGGTTTATACGTACTGTTTATACTCTCTATGAGCATATATTCTACCTATTAATAATTGACGTTCTATAATTTGTTATATTACGTATTATTTTAGTAAATTATTTAACTGTACATACTATATAGTAGCAAGTGATTTAGTCAATAAAGGTTATCTACATATGTAATGTATCAATAAATTGTTAAGCTTAAAGATGTTATTTTTTTAAAATTAAGTTTAACCATATGCACAATTGACAATAACTATCGGAATTCATGCATCAAATTTTATCATTATGAATAAAAAATCTATAATTTAATATTCTTTTATTAACGAATTTTTTACTTTGAACTTATTTTCTATTAGCCAATCAAATTTTGTACGTCACAAAATGATCTACAAAAAATAACCAATCATAACGAAATCCTCAAATGACCACTTTTTTGATTGTCGGGATTTGTAGGGATTTTTTTGTGACCTGTCGGGATTTTGACCCAGAGTAGAGATGGGCAAGGTAATTACTTATTACGTAAAAAGTCACATCACACAATGCGACGATTCTCTAATGATATAAACCTGCAATTAATAACATGCTAAATCGACACGTTATGTGAAATGACGCAATAAGTGATTACCTTGCCCATCTCTAATCCAGAGCAATTCAATTTTGTGCATTTGCATAATTTCCTCGTTATTAGATAAGTGCATCAGAGTTTTTAGACAAGTAAGAGTAAAAAGCTTACAACAAAATAGATCAGATCGAATTATGATCTTGCAAAATGATCAAGGTTTCTTCATTAGTCACAATGATATATCACACGCAAATTTAAGTTGAGAATCGTATTTAAAAAAAGCTTCTTTTATCCTAATTGAAAATTTGGTATTTTTCTTTATTTTTATATTAAATTCTTATCATATTATTTTTTAATTTATGTATGTCAAGATTGTATATTTATTATATTTATGTTGTTACAAGTGAAAATGGAATCCCTGTCTTGATTTATTGTACTAATTGTATCAATTCTTAATAAAAATAAATAAATTGCAAAATTTTCGATTGATTTATAAAATTTTCGATAAATTTCAATCTGAATTTCGAAGTCAGCATAAAAAAATTTTTTTAATGTTGATCTTGCCCAATAATGTTATTACTGTATTATCATGTGATTTAGTTTTTTTTAGCCAATAATATTATTTTTGTGATTTTTTATGATTTTTCCAAAAATTCCTGATTAAATTTGGCCAAATTTCAAAAAATTTCGATTCTATCAAAAAAATTTTTTCGAAAAATTTACGTGCCCCTGGCGCCCGTTAGGGTGTCCAGGATTATGCGATGCGATAGGGTAAATTATGCGTGCAACAAAGTCAAATTATGCGATGGATGCGAATTATGCGATTTCTTATTTGGATTTTGTCAATTATGCAGAAGTTTCCAGAATTTTCACCTGCCAATCACCTCTGCCACCAATCAAGTCTCAGCCAATGCCTTTTCCTTAATTATGCGCGATGCGAAAATTTGGTAAATTATGCGCATATTATGATTTCGCATAATCCCAGACACCCTAGTGGCCGGCAGCCACTTATTTTAGCGAGTAATACAAACTCTTAAAAAGGAGATGGCTAATCAGAGAGCACAGATTTTGACTATCCCGGATCAGCCCGACAAAGATTCCGAACACGCGCGAAAGAAGAAAAAAGAAAAAAAACGAAAATACTCAAAAACTATAGTTTAAATCGACCTTGATTAACTAATAAAAAATAACGGGGATGAAATTTTACATATAAGAAACTCCAACTTAAAACTCACAACCCTAACGTCCTAATTCTAAACTTATAATTTTTACGCACTTAGTTTATTTAAGTAAATCGTAGTGGCCGTAGATCCTAGGGTCTCAAGTCACGTACCTGCCGCCAGGTAGATCATCGGTTACACTTTTGATAGGGTTAATCATTATAGTAATAGTAGGGGTGTAATAACTCACCTGACAATGTAACTTACATTGTAAGTTACATGACCCTATGTAAGTTACAAAATATATCATAGTAAAGCAGGCCGGCTTTGATATTAATGCTGGTCAGAATAAATTTAGCCAACATTAAGGTTATTAAAGGATGAAATTCTTATTATTATTATACATAACTTACCTTACATGGTAACTTACATTTTAAGAATAACTTATGGTAAGTTATACAACCCTAAGTAATAATAATAGGGATTTAACCGTTATTCATTTAACCGTCTTTAACCGTTTATTTATATTATACGGTTAAACGAGTAAGAAATTTTATAAGCGATTAAAACCGTTAATATTTGCTTAACCATTTTTTAAATTTTATACGATTAAACGTTTAATAATTGTTTAATTCCACACGTGAATATTCAAGTCCTTACTGTGGCAAATTGATCATATTTGTAATTCAATTACACAATATTATAATTTTCGGAGTTAAGTATTCGTTTTTTGGTTTCAATTCTGCAACACTCATATATTATTTTATTGCACGGGTCTTATGTGACAACCCGTGCTTTTTTCATTTACTTATTGGCACGGGATTGTTACGTCAGATACCGTGCAATAAGATAGTTATTGTATGGATATATTGAATAACCCAGTTACACACACGGGTTAATATTTAAATCCCGTGCCTTCGGCCCGGAATATGAACCCGTGTGTAACTGGGTTATTCACTACATACCCATACAATAACTATAAAGTATTAAGAAACTATTTATTGTTATGCTATAAAAATTTTTACATTCTGAACTTACGCTGATTTCCATTTCCTAACTTTTTGCATCTAAATATTAATTGATTACGGTTAAGCTGCTAAACGGTCAAATGATTGTACGATTATTAATCGTGTAACTTGTAATTAAGCGATGCGACTGCCAGCATTATTTTAAATTTTCAATTTTTTTATTTATTTAGTTTTAAAGTACTGTAGAAGCAAAATAAAAAAATTTATCGATTTTGATTAGGTGATGATTAGATATCTTCGTTCAAAATTTCTACGTTATTTTGATAGGCGTTTTAAATGGTTCCAAACCTTTGAACAAGATATCTCATCAACCACACAAAGTTAATTTTTCGTTTTGCATAACCTACCTACCCAATTTTTCAAAAAAATTTTAAGGTCCAGTTGTTTCAATTATTCCATTTTTGATATATAAAATTTTTTTTGAATTACCCAATAGACCTGCTAAAAAAAAACTTCCAGATTTTCTGATTCCATGCTATGCAATATAAAAAATTGACTTGCGTGGCCTTGGATACGAACATGAATCTACTATCTATTATTTTACAATAGATTAAAAAAAAACCACGGCGATTAGAATTACGGAACTCCAGGTTATGCAAAACGAAAAATTAACTTTGTGTGTGCCTAACAAAATTGATGAAACTCTTTTTTATTTTGATTCTACAGAATTGTAGAATTAAAATAAAAAAAAAACTCATCGGTTTTGATTGGGTATTGGCGAGATATCTTCGTTCAAAGTTTACAAAAATTTGTTATTTTGATAGGCGTTTAAATGTTTCCAAAACTTTAAACGAAGATATCTCATTAATCCTCAACCAAAATCGATGAAACTTTTTTATTTTTATTCTACAGTCTGTAGAATAAAAATAAATAATTGATTGATTTTAGTTGGGTGGTTGATGAGATAGCTTCGTTCAAAATCTACAAAATTTTAATACGGCTGTCACAGTATTTTGATAGGTGGTTTAAATTTTTGAGCAAAGATATCTCATTAACCATCAATCATAATCAATAATTTTTTTATTTTTATTCTACAGAACTGTATAATTAAATAAAAAATTTTATTGATTTTTAGTTGATAGTTGACAAGATATCCGTTCAAAGTTT